AACCTTGAAATAAAATTGTATCATTTTAATATTTCCTGGAACAGTTATGTTCCACTGATTTTAAAACGCGATTTCACGTTTCGCAGAATTGTTGGTGAAATGCAATAACTAATGTTGCGTGGTATTGAGGACACCAACACCGCGCAACACAGTTCTGAGAGTTGGCTAAACATCACGCTTTTAGTTGATGTGATGTTTAGCTTAAAGTTTACGTCTGCAATAATCAATTTAAAATGTGTGTGTGAAGCAACACACACAAATATATATACACTCGCATCATATACACACGTGGACACTACACACCCACACACACACACACACACACATACACACACACACAAGGGGCATTTAACACAAGGGTATTTAACACAAGAGGCACACGCACAAGGGGACACAGTTGAAACTGAGTGCCCAAATGAGCCACAGAGATATTAGAAAGAACTTTTTTAGTGTCAGAGTGGTTGACAAATGGAATGCATTAGGCAGTGATGTGGTGGAGGCTGACTCCATACACAGTTTCAAGTGTAGATATGACAGAGCCCAATAGGCTCAGGAATCTGTACCCTGTTGATTGACAGTTGAGAGGCGGGACCAAAGAGCCAGAGCTCAACCCCGCAAGCACAACTAGGTGAGTACAACTAGGTGAGTACAGGCCTTACTACCCAGACCTTCCTACCTACCTTCCTAGATGCCCAGCCCCCCATTCGCCCCCCCCCCCCCAAGCACCCCTCCATCCCCCATTCACCCCCAGAGAAAATTCCCCCAATCCCCCCCCCCACACCCCCAGAGAAAGGGTGAACTCTGGTGCCTGAGTTTCCATGAAGAATCTCAAAGTTTGGTACACCAATGCTGATGGGGTATCTGATAAAGCAGAAGAGATAAAAGAAAGAGTGAGTGAGGCAGATCCTGACATAGTTGCAATTGTGGAAACTAAAATAAATGGCAAGATCTCAGATGCAATCTTTCCTGAAGGGTACCAGGTGATAAGAAAAGAGAGGGACACAGAGACAGGGAGGAGGAGTGGCACTCCTAATAAAGCGGAAATGAAAGTTTGAAGACCTGGGAAATCGAGTTACCAATGAGTGCACAAGCTTCATACATGGAACTCTGACAGTAGATGGGAGGAAGATTGTGATCTTGGTAATCTACAATCCCCCACCAAACAGTAGAAGACCTAGGCAGGAGTATGATGACAACAATAAGGCATGCATAGATGAACTGCAGAAGGCAGCAACACTAGCCCACAGAATGACAGCGAAGCTGCTGATCATGGGGAACCTAAATCATGGAGAGATAAATTGGGAATCAAAAAATCCCCATGGAGGGGACGAAACGTGGGGAGCAAAGTTAGTAGATGTTATAGACAGGAATTTCATAACACAACATGTGAAGGAAGACACAAGGAAAAGAGGAGGAGATGCACCGAGCCAATTAGACCTGATTTTCACCCAGAACGTAGAAGATATCGAGAATTTAGAGCATGAAATACCTCTAGGGGCCAGTGACCATTGTGTCCCAGTCTTTGACTACATGATGGAATTCAAACTTGTGACCAAGGGACAAGAGTTCTGGGAAAGGAGAGTTGACCACAGGAAAGGTGACTATAGGAAGATAAGGGACTATCTGGGAGAAGTGCAGTGGGAGGAATACTAGAGAGAATAATTAGGCTACGACTGGTTGCACACCTGGAGAATGTTAGGTTTGTGAACAAACATCAACATGGGTTCTGGAAACGGAAATCTTCCCTAACAAACCTTTTGGAATTCTATGATAAAATAACGAGGATAAGACAGGACAGAGATTTTTGGGCAGACTGCATATTTCTGGACTGCCAAAAAGCCTTTGATACAGTATCGCACATGAGACTGCTATTCAAACTCGAGAGGCAGGCGGGGGTGGGGGGAAAGGTCCTAGCATGGATAAGGAACTACCTAACAGGAAGGAGCCAAAGAGTTACGGTAAGGGGCGAGAAGTCGGACTGGCGAAAAGTAACGAGTGGAGTACCTCAAGGATCGGTGCTGGGACCAATTCTATTTCAAATATATGTTAACGACATGTTTACAGGAGTAAAGTCCTACATATCGATGTTCGCGGATGACGCAAAGTTGATGAGAAGAGTTGTGACAGATGAGGATTGCAGGATCCTCCAAGAGGACTTGAACAGGTTGCAGAGATGGTCAGAGAAATGGCTACTGGAGTTCAACACCAGCAAATGTAAAGTTATGGAAATGGGACTAGATGATAGGAGGCCAAAGGAACAGTACACAATGAAGGGGAACAGCCTACCTGTGGCGACGCGAGAAAGAGACCTGGGTGTGGACGTAACACCTAATCTATCTCCTGAGGCACATATAAATTAGGATAACGACAGCAGCGTACTCTACACTGGCAAAAGTTAGAACATCGTTCAGAAACCTAAGTAAGTAGGCATTTAGGGCGCTTTACACTGCCTACGTGAGGCCAGTCTTAGAGTATGCCGCCTCATCATGGAGTCCCCATC